TTGAATTCTTTTCATTCTCCGGATTCTCCAATATTCTCTGATTCATATGTTTCTTCCCGTTGTTTGTTGCCGTTTCCCAAACTTAGTTCAATTCAACTTTTTTAAATTCTCATATTTGTATTTTTCTTCCCATGTTTGTGTCGAAAAAAAGTATTTAGCAGAAAACCTCCTCATATTGTTCATCCGGTAAGTGAGAATTAGAAAAAAATATGATACTTTTCTATAGGCCTTCAGGTAGCAGAATTATGGGGCTTAAGGGCTATAAGTCAAAACTACAGGGTAAAAATTGGTCAATATTTTTTGAGTCAAATCTAAAAAGTAATAAATACCAAAGTGCACACCCTCAGAATTCCCTTAGTATATATGAAAAGTTTTAGGTCTCTAGGTTCTTTCTTCTTAGAGCTATGGCGGTCACACACACACAGACAGGCTCTTTTATTATTATCGCTTATGTAACATTATTGAGAACGTCTAGGAAGTAATGTTCAAATTGTGAGCCTCTCGTCAACATTTCAAACTTCGTTAATTTTCGCCAATATTTTTGTCAGTCTAATGAACTTACACAAAACTAATGCAAATTAAACATCGTAATGTTCTCATCACTTCATGCTAGAAATAACAACAGAGTGTTAGAATAACCGTAGCCATGATTTTTAATTCGTATTTCATCAACAGTAGAGACGTTTTCGAACAACATAAAGAGTTTTAAAACAACTTAACACAGTCACGTACTTGCTAGGTGAACGAAGAGACATCAAATATACTGGGTCACGTTCATGGGATGGCTCGGTGCTCCTTTATAGTCACCCTTTGACTTAAAGCCTTTTATATGTCTTTATACACTGAAAAAAACGTGTTGTTGCTATGGTAACAAGTATATCAGACTACATCAACTTCAGTTCTAGCTAGCAATTGTCAAAATAGTTTTTTCTGAACTTAAAACGAAGAAAAGAACAATTTCAAAGAAATGTTATAGATGAAACGTGCATTCTAAACCGTTAATTTAGACACTCCTTCCTCGAACAACCAATTCCTAACTATTTGAGTTAATACATGACATCAAATCTCAGTAAGAGTGCTCATTTTTCACTTCAGTTTTAACACGAGTAGAAGGTTGTTTGTTTGTTTTGTTATGAATTTCGCGCAAAGCTACACAAGGGCTATCTGCGCTAGCCGTCTCTAATTTAGCAGTGTAAGACTAGAGGGAAGGCAACTAGTCATCACCACCCACAACCAACTCTTGGACTACTCTTTTACCAACGAATAGTGGGATGACCGTCACATTATAACGCCCCCATGGGTGAAAGCATGTTTGTTGTAATGGGAATTCGAACCCTCGACCCACCTGGCCATGCCGGGCCCAGTAGAAAGTTGCAAGAAATTCCATTTTAATATACGACGTAGCTTTGTTGGTATAGATATGTCTTTCATCGCTTGAAATTATGAAATTGTAGTTATTAACTATTTCGAATAAATGATCAGTATTATTGCTATCAATTTTACACAGATAAAGCCTCAGTGTTTTCTATTGAAATCAACAATTATTATTAAATCTAAATATAATTTACTAAATATTCAAATTATTTCGTAATTAGGGACACTCTTGGTGGAATATAAATATGTTGGTTATAATAATTTCATCTACACAAGTCGGTAAATACTAATAATAATACTACACATAGTATCATCTATGGGGGGTAATCTACCTTAAAGTGATTTAAATCTCTATCTTTTCTCTATATATGTTATATCCTACAACAATAAGTTTTTTATTTTCAGATAACCAAGTTTCAAAAATGTAGATTACATTAAAATTTAAGTTTTGATCAATAATCCTAAAACATTTTGTCATACACTGTAAAACAAGTCCCGTAAATATACAAGCAATTAACCGTTATTTTTCAATGTTAAAATCCGTATTTTAAAGTATGATTAAAATATTTTAAAAAGTTAGAAATACTATAAAACTAAATGTATACTATAATTTTAATGAAATTATCCATAACTTTTTAACGTATAAAACCATTTTTCAAAGTACTGCCATATCCCCTGAATTCAATGTGAAACCATTTTTCAAAGTACTACCATATCCCCTGAATTCAATGTGAAACCATTTTTCAAAGTACTGCCATATCCCCTGAATTCATTGTGAAACCATTTAAAAAAATTATTTAACGGCAAAAAAAGATGGTATTTCTTTAATCTAACCCTGAAGTACGACACTTAAACCTTTATTTTTATACACAGTTGTACTCTCTCTACTAAGGGTTAGCACTATGACCATGACCATGCAGCTGACCTGATCTAACGTAATTATATATATATATATATGTATATATTGTTTGTTTGTTTCTTTTAGAGCAAAGCTACTTTTGGCTATGTGCTGTGTCCACCGCCAGGAATATCAATCTGTATTTTGTTATGTTTGATGTTAAACACAAAGTTACACAATGGGTTATCTGTGCTCTGCCCACCACGGGTATCGAAGCCCGATTTCTAGCGTTGTAAGTCCGTAGAAATACCGCTGTGTCACTGGGGGGCTAAATCTGGATTTAAGCTTTGTACTTCCGTAGAGTTATCGCTGTCCTACCGGGAGACTTGTATGAATATATATATATATATATATATAAGTTATTTTGTGTGGATAAACCATTATGTTTCTGTACATAATGGTAAAAAGAGAATGCCTTAAAATATATAATTATTGTTGTGTGTGGATTAACCTTCACTTTTAAAATGCATTTTGTAGATTAACCGAAAAAAAAGCGAAAAAAAAACTCCACTAGAAATATAATTACACAAATATATCTTATGTGCATTAAACATTAATTAAAATTTTGTAGAATGACGCTAAAAAAACACTTGAAATACATGGTAAAACACTTATTTTATGTGGAATAACCGTTAAGTGTATTTCCTTGTAGAATAACAGCAAAAAATACTGGAAATACAGACTCAAACAGTTATTTTAAGAAATTCTCACCGCTAGAAACCGGGTTTCAATACCGTGGTGGGCAGAGAGCATCTATGGTTATGGAAAGGATTTAATTGACTACTGAGGGTCGTCTGATTGACTGTTGAGCGCGGTCCTACACTGTTACGTTATGGTAAAAAGACTGGTAGCCGAGCTGGCAGATCTTTTACTGTAAAAATAAGTTCAGAACCTTAAACTAATTCATAGTTGAATTTACAGCAATTCCCTGTTCACTTTACTGGAATTTATCCTAAACTTGATTGATTGATTGATTGTTTGGATTTAAGCACAAAGCTACCAATAGGCTATCTGCGCATCAGAAATAACACATTTAACTAACTTTATTTCAGTCAATATTCCATCATTTTATATTTATATCATTTTATTTTAAATCTCTGATCGCTCTGGAATTCTTCCCTAGATTTTCCAGGGTAAAAAACGGGATAAACATGTAATCAGAAAGGAAAAAGAACCGAATCATCGTCCAAGTCTTAAACTTTCCAATTATTTTGTGTGCCGAGTATGGCCCAATAGTTAGCGTGCCCGGACAATGAATTATAGAGTTCGTGGCATGCGTTGCGTACCGCAAACACACCTGGGGATGTAGGCGAGCTATAAGAGTGAAGGTGAAGCCCCACTATTCAGTCAGACAAGAGAAGCCCAAGAACGAATGCCGTTAACAAGGTGCTTTACCTTTATTCTGTCAGTTCAAAATTAGCTTCGTCTATGCGTAGGTAGCTCTTGTATAGCTTTTCGTGAATTTCTGAAACAAACAAATATACCAAGTAGTTTCTCAGTTAAGAAAAAAGCGAACGTTACATGAAATGAAAATTCAGGAATGTTCGTTACAAAGTTGTTTTTTGTAATATTTTAAACCTATCATATCTAATAGGCTTAGCTTTCTAGCTTTCCAAAGTTAGTGTCCGGAAAGGTTTTTCGTTTTCTTCACATGTTAGCTAAGAATTTAAACCAATAAAGAAATGATATATCTATGTCAATATAAATATGCTGATGATTTGGTTCTTTACGCTTCCCCGGTGGGTGAGAAGTAAGTTTACAAACTTAGAAATCTAAGATCTGAGGTTCGATTTCCAGCGGTTGAGGGAGTTCAGACAGCCCCTTTT